TCGAAGTTTTTTTTATCTTTCAATAAGACATCTTTATTTTCGTTTTCCTTAAATACTCATTTTTGAAAAATCAACAATCATTTTATGTTGAAATGAGCTCTTGAAAACATTATTGAATGAAAGCTACAGCTTAGTTTAATATTATATTTTGTAGAGAAGTGTTCACTTTGCAAAATGATCGATCAACTTCGAGAATTTTTATCATATTCGAAAAGAAACATGCTGATTCACCATTAAAAATAATTTTCCAGGCCTTTGAAAAAATTTGTTCATTACTTTTGAACTAAAATGGACACAATATTTCTAATCCCATATTTCAATTTGAGTCATGATCCAAAGTTCTTTCCCTTGTCTGAAATACTTTAATAAACATGTCCACCGAAAAGGTCGTCCGTCCAAACTAATGTTTTGAACTTTTCAAAGATTATTTCACTATTCTCAAACGAAATTTCTAAGCCGAAGCACAAATTCATAGCGTTCGACACGTTGAAAATACTTTCAAACAAGTCAAAATTAAACAAACACATCTTGTCGAAAAACTCTTCGATCACTCGTTATTCATTATTATATTTTTATTGATTACTTCATTCAATATTTTGACATTGAATAATTGTATATAACTTTTCCATTGCTTGAGTTATTTTGTTCCAGTGGTAAAAAAAAAAATTTTTTCTACTCATTTATCAAGTAAATCTATTGAATTATTCATTCATTAACTGTAAATGAGAAATTCTAGTTTATATATTGATTCAATCATCAACAGACGACGAACGATAACTAATTGGTTCGTACTCTCCATTCTTTCTCGATGATATAGCACACTACCAATTTGTCTCTTTCCACAGCTGGTTCTATATGTCTACATGACACACTAATTTATCATCATTGAAAAAAATGAAATCACATAGCGAGATGGGTGGAACCGTGAGGTAGTTCACTCGTATGATACCTGTTGGGAAAAAAATCATCAATGTATTATACTTGCTTAATGACCTATATTATTTTTTTCACTAAGTTAGTGAATGACTGTTTAATTTGACAGCATCATATATCCGAAAAAAATCAAAATTTTCTGTTAATGTTTTATGTTTTCTGTTTTCGTTAATCACTAATGATCGTTTAACTATGCGTATAGATAAGTTTTATCTCTATCTTGACATGACTATGTGAGTATCAAATGTTGTTGTTGTAAGGTTTAAAGACACTCAATAATTAGACATAAGATGAAAGGTGTGAATATTCGACATACATATATTGTACAATGCCTACCGGGGGCTTCTTTTTTGTTTTCTTCAATGTCAATGAGATTATTACGTGAACATTCAGAATAAGTAATATAAAGATTTAATTTTATTCAAAAGAGAGAACATACAAATCTTACACAATTCTTCTTTTTTGTGTTTTTTTGTTGAAAATTGATGACATAAATAAACATAGACGAAATGAACAGTGATTCACGCATGTAACGGATTTCATTTTGACGCGTGCCTATTTCCTATTTCGTTTTTTCTTCTTTTTTTATTGACATTTTCATAAATCAAGATGAAAGACAATTTAAAATTCGATTTCGACCTTCGTCTGTCTCCTCTTTCTATCTTTTCTTCTTATGTTGATTAGTACACAAATTTTTTGGATGAGGTGTGAAAAATAGTGTTGTTGTCTTTTGACTCTCTTGAAAACAGTCAAAATGTGAAAAGAGGAAGAAACCCCTTATTGCAAACACTAGAATATATACATATGTGCGCGTGTCTATAGAGATTGACAATCTGTTCAATGTTCAAATAATATGAATAAAAAGAAAAAGTCAAAATGTTTGTCGGCATCAGCCACTTGAAATGATGAAGAGACAACAACAAAAAAAAAAAAAAAGGAAACGATGAACATCTTGTCTACAAGAGCAAGCAAAGATACCTTCTGTTCTTCTTCTTCATTGCATACGTCCATCATCAAAGTGTAGTACTATGTTTTTTAAAAAAAAACACCTCGTTTTAATAAACCGTTAATTCCCCAAACACATATTGATGAAAATGAACTTTCTTTTTTTTTTTTTTTTGGTGATCCAATCTATCGAGGGATTTTAGTCGTGCATCGTTAAGCTGATAACTCAAGAGGATATAGCACTATGACGTAAAGATGCAATATTTCATTTGCTCTCTTGTCGATCAATGTAAGTGTCCATGACAAAATGAGTGAACAAACACGCGATTTAAGTATTGACACGAGTACGGAAACGATCACTATCGATTGTGCCTATCTCAATCTACTTGATACGTAATCCTACATAGTTTTGACAAGAGCACAAATCATATTCATTACGTGGATCATTAGTAACCATCGAGTGAAAACGAACACAAAAAGAAATGTAAAGATAAATGCGATGACTCTTTAATTAGGAGAAAACAAAACGATGTGATTTACGATCGACACTCATAGTTTCATCATCGTGCTTATCTTCAAGTAGTTCGCTATCAATATTGGATATTAGGAATCAGTAGAAAAAAAAATTTAAATGAGGAGAAAAAAAGGAAAAGAATTTAACAAGTAATTCATTGTTAGTTTTCATACTAATATTTATTAGGGCTCTTAATGTTTTATTCAGTAATCTTGGATAAGTAATTTTATGTTTTAGTTTTCAATGTCACATCAATTTAATATCAACAAGGAAACAAAATTATCTTATATACACATTTAGATATCATATCAATTTATTTAAGAATAAGTTTTATTCAACTTTTTCCTTGATTGAATCTATTGAAAAGCTTTTATTTATGATTGAAGATAGGTATGATAAGATATCCAGAAAAATAATAACTTAGTTCTTAGATAATGTATATATTAAAAGATTTACTTGGAAATAAATTTATATATGAAACTAAAGAAGGATGATATTTATCGATGAAACAAAGTAAATCTTATCAATTGAATATGATAGATGTATTTTAAAAAAAATGTGTTATTTATTATGACAAAAATGATATTGAACAACTAATATGAATGCAAAAATAAGAATATATGTTATTGATGAGATAACGATCATCAATGTCGTATTCAGTCAGTCATAGCTTTTCTGAAATAATATAAAATAAAGAAACACTTTTTTTTTTAAAATGAACGGCATTTTTTATGATGAAGTTGATGGCAAGAAAAGGACTGTAAAAAAAAAGATGACTTCAATGAAAGGATAAAAGCCTAAAAGTATCAAACATCTGTTTGATAAAATAAGAAATTTGTTGTAAAATTTCAAAAAGAAAAGTAATCACAAGTGTTATCTATACAACTGATGGAAGCAGCCTCAGAATGACAATTACTGTTGCCAAGATGACTAGAAAATGATACTGTATACTTTCGTTTCATACAGTATGCGATCGTAAAAGCTGTAAATTGACGCTAGATAAGTGCAGTATTACGACCGTATTTTATCGTGCCGAACACAGGTGATAATTGTCTGAAAATTGAGTATTCGGACGTATACGAGAAAATTTTTCTTACGATGAAATCTTCATGGTATTCATTATTTAGGACTATATCAAAAAGTTAAAATCTATAAAAGTGATTTTCTGTAGAAAATTTAAAGTGCTAACATTTTAAATTTTGTTTTGCTGTAATCAGAGTTTCTAATAATATCATACAAGAAAACAATCTTACCTGTTGAATGCTATTAAACCTCATATTGGAACAACATACAAGACTAGATAATGCTGAGCAAAACCCAAGGGAGAAAAAACGTTCTCTTGTGCTCCCCGGAGTTCAACAAGTGCGAGAATACAGTGGGAGTACACAGAGTACAATTTTATAACTAAGGAAAATCTAGACCTAAATCCAAGAAGATAACGGTGTACTCTCATACTTCGCATGCTTTCACGATTCTCTTACTATACTCTACGTGCTTCTACTCCAATCTCACTGTACTCTCGTATTTCGATTCTATTCCTACTGCACTTTTGTGCTTTATGGAGTGCGACAGTGTATCGTTTCCCTCTCGGTCTAATAAGATGATAGGTCAAATATTTTCATCATCTAGATATTGATGTTCTCTGTTTAAAATGTATTTTCTGTTTGTTAAAACTTAGATAAAGATGAAAGAAGTGGTCATGCAAAGAACTTAATTAAAATCCGTCAGAAAAAAATCGTTGTAGTAATACTGGCAGCATGATTTTATTTATTGATATTTGAGAGACTTTAAAATGCTGAAAAAAACCTATTGTCAAACGCAAAATAACGGATGACCCATAATAAATGACTGCATTTTACATTTCATATTTTAATCTCTAAACACATCGTATTACAAAAAACCGAATGTACAACAAGATATAGCATGAAAAGCTCAACAATCTACAAAGTAAAGCTTATTTTAATTGTACATTCTCGTGAAAAATATTTTTCATCAATAAATAGAATTGTTTTCTATCAATGAGCTACAAAAAAAGCGAATTGATCGTTTACGAAAAAGTGATTATGTTCGCAGCGTTAAAAATTGATTGCACAGAATTTTATTTATTTTGAAAAACAAAAGATAAACAGTTAAAATAAGTTTTACTTTGTAAATTGTAGAGTTTTTCACGTTGCATCTTGGTGTACACTCTGCTTTTTTTTAAATAATAAGATGTATTTTAAGATTAAAATATGAAATATAGAATGAAACCATTTATTATGGATCACCTGTTATAATATTCTAAACAGTACTACATTTTTAACTTTAGAGTTCAAATTCTCAAGTTTGCTTATAGATTCAATAGTTCTATCTATAATCTAAATAAATATTCAAATAGAATTAAGTCCATTTGTTTTTCGAACTAGATCATTATTTATATATATAAATATTCAATGAAATATTGAAATATTTTCTACCTTATTCACTTATTTCATAAGTGACATCAGCATTGTCCACGAACGATAAAAAATTTTATTCTATCACTGAATTCTATTCGTTGTTTTTTCTTTTTATAATAAAATACGAACACACACAAGAATTATCTGGTATGACAAAAAAAAGACACTCTCTAGTCAAGTAATGATATACATCTTGCATGAAGTTCTTGATCATTTCCAGTTAATGTTAAAGATTGTTTAAGTAATCGCTTTAATGCTGGTGATGTTCGTAAACGTGTTAAAATAAATTGATTCATTTGTTGATTAGAAGTATGATTAATTTGTTGTATAGTCTGTATAAGATGAACAGCAATACGACTTTGCACAATGGCATCAGGAAATATTTCATTATCAATTGAAATTAATGAATAAATTGTTGTCCATTCAAACCATTTCAATTGTTTCATCTTATTTATTGCCTATAAATCAAACAAGAAAAAATATAACAAAGAGACATATTTTCAATACATACAAAAGCATTTTCAATTCGAATCCATAATGATTCAATAATATTATCACGATGAATTTTTAAACATTGTAAATGATTAATAATAATTTCACTATATTTAAATGTTCTATTAGCATCAATATCATTTAATTTTTCAGTAACATAACCATCAATTTTAAATGAAGGAAATAAAAGACGAAAAAAAAATAATGAAAAATCATTTAATGTACAGAAATTTTCACCATGACGATCATATTGTCGAAGTAAAATTCCTAATAAAAGATGTATACTTTCTGATTCTAACCAATGCCATTGAATATATTGTTGTAAACTTAATAAAAATGAATTATTTAATGATTGTTTACCATTAATACCATATAACCAAGTTATAAGTAAACGTTGTTCAATTCCAGTACTAGTTTTTAATATTGCTAAAAGATTTTAAAAAATATAAAATTAAAAAATACAACAACATTTGGTTTTTTTATTTCTCTTACCAAAATAATCAATATAAATATTATTAAGTAATAGTGCAAATGGATCAAGTTCAAATGAAAATATTTGTGTCATTCGTTCAAGTATTTCTTTTCTTTCATTTTTATTAAATTCTGTTTCTGATGAACGTAATACTTGAAATACAAACCATACCATATCATCAACTGGTAATGAAGCAATGATTCTGAAATAGAAAAAAAGAATTTTTTTTTTCGTTTAAAATTCCAAACACGTAGGCCATTACAAAAATATTTTTCGCTCGGTTCTCCTAAAAGTTATAATTTTAGTGCAAATATTTCATTATCATACATAAACATATTTAGGATTATGTGCAAACTTTCAATCTTTAAGGTCTTGTAAATGGTTGTATTTCCTGATGTCTTTCAAATTAGTCACACATCATTTTCGAGGTTGTGTACATCCTTGCTGAAATCGAGACCATCGATATGAAGTTCAATCGAAATGAAGATCGCTGAATGCTTTTCAAGCATCTATGATCATGAGTTTCATTTCGACGATCATTTCGTACGTTCACTCTTTCTGAATTTTTTTCATATATATACTACAGATATCATCTTAGAATATCGCTGGTAGTTTCGGTCATCGTAATAAAGATCACCGAAAACAGGCATCGTCGACGTGGAAATTTGCTAAATTTCGGCGATGTGATTTTCAGCAAGGCTCATATTGAACAAATTGACAATGTATAAGATTCTAAATATGTCTATGCATGATAATAGAATACTTGGACTAAAATTATGACTTTAAGAAGAGACGAGTAAAAAAAATTATAATGTCCCATGCATTAATTTAATTAAATTTACTCTGAATCAAGTTTAGCAATTTTTAATGTAATACTATCACATAGAATTCGAAAGGCAATTGAATTTGTATGAAGATCATTTATTGATCTTTGTATATATTTGGAAATACCATCAATACATTGTCGAATAATTTCTATAAATATAAAATACAAAAATGAAAATTAAATTGATTGATTTTGTATGTTTTTTTTTTACTATCATCTCGAAATGAACGAATACATTTTTCAATATATTCAAGTGTATCTTTTGTTTCATGAATATTTAAATTTTCATTATTATTAAGTAAATCAAACATATAATTAAGTAATGGTTGCATTTGATCAGGTTTTAATTGAAATTTTAATTGATGTAAATTTTTAATCATTTTTTCTTGTATACGAGGAAATTGTGTTGATAATAAATCAATAATATGTATATTTAAACGTCTTACTGTTAAATTTTTTTGTTGAACTTGTTTTGATGATAATATATCTGAACCTTGATGTTCATCAAATGGAAAATTTTGTAATAAATGTTTATGTATGGATGATGAATGTTGAGCAATTATTGAATGAAGTTCTGTATAATGTTGACTTGATAATATTGAATTCATTAAACGATGAAATATTCTTGTACAACACCATAAACATGATAAAGCATCACGATGATGATGACGATCACCAAGATGTATGCGCATTTCAGACCAAAATTGAAGAAGAACTTTTAGAAGAAGATCCATAACACGAGACAATAGTTGAGAATCAGAACGAAATTGAAATACTTGATCACTGAAAATATAAAGTTAAAAAGATTTATTCAAATAGAATATTTAAAAAAAAAACAGTACATGATAGTAAAATAAAAGTTTAACAGACAGAGTTCATTCATTCTAAGATTTTTCGATTTAAATTCAAATATCATCGTTGAATTTCTGTACATATATATGTAATATGAACGAAACAGAAAAATTATCAAATGATTTTATAGTAAATTCTCAATAAGCTAAAAAATGAAGTTTTCTTTTTGATTGGAAAAAAAATTCTAAATTTTAATTTTCTTGTTGAAGCAATTACTGATAAACTTGCATTACTCTTATACAGAGCGGCTTACAAATAACTCTCCAATACAAATACACGATATCTCCAATCTGCCTTACTCAATTGGGCTGATGTTTTTGCTGTTGGTGATAGAGACTGATCAAAGTTTTTATTCATAAGGAAACCGTCAAATAGATACCCTTTTGATGAACTAGCACTATTGATCACCATAAAAGAACATACTAATGACCAAAGGTATCTCATCTATTCGTAGGGCTAGACATGTGAAATTTTTTGCGTATATGTTATTTTAGAAATGTAGACCAATGAAACTAGTCTGGTCTTCTTTGCTTCAATTGAAGAGTAGTTAGGACGTATGATAGCTCTTCTCACTATGAGTGCTATAATTGAAGAAGAAAAGCAGCTTATGACCTAGTCAGCCTATCATTATGTAAAAGATTCGCAGATTTTCAATGCTTAGATGAAATGTATAGCTAAATAGTCGTATTATAGAATGGCATAATGATAGGTTTGCCGAGTCATAAGCTTCTTCTCTTCTTGAGTTATACCAGGCTAGTCTCGTTAGTTTACGTGTCTAAGTTAGTATATATGCTGAAAAAATTTTACCTTTCAAGCCCTAAGAATGACTGAGATTATAGGATATTCTTAATATTGAGGTCAATAGTACTAGTTCGAAATAGTATCTACTTACTAGTTTTCTTATGCATAAAAACTTTGCTGTGCTCTCTGTTAATGGGAAAAAAAACAAGTTTGATTGCTTATAGCAGACTGCATGTATTGAATTTTTTTTTATTGTCTAGTCATTTATGGAACACTCTATATGCTCCGAAAATCAAGATGCATCATTACACTACCAAAGATGCTATATCTCTTCGAATGATTCTAAACTACAAATAAAATATATTATGTCTTTATTTTAGCTTAGAATTATTTAAGAAGCAACACATTCAACTAACGATAGAAGAGAAAACAAGTGAGAATAGATTTTTTAATTATAAATTAATAAAAAATTAGCTGTTTTCTCGTTGTTCGAATATCTATTTGTAAAAATTTAACTTACATTAGTCTAAAAGGTTTTGATTTTGTATTATGTAATAAATCAAATAAAGTTTTTTCTTGTTCTTCATCTTGATTTATATCTTTATTAATTGGTTGTTCATTATTATATTTATCAAAAACAATATTAACTAATTGTGCAATACAATCAAGTAATCGTGCATTTCCACTATTGTTTCCAACTGTTGTTGTATCAATTGTTATAATAAATTGTCGTTCAGATCGACTTATTTTCATTAATTGTTGTAATAAACTTTCAAGAATAGGTAATGCATGATTTGTTAATAATATTGGTGAGTATGATTGATGAAGAAGTAATTCAAGTACGGGTACTGATCGTTCACGAATATCATCATTTAAATGAGTCATTAAAGAAATTAAACGTTGACATATAAGTGCCATTAATGGTTCGAAACTTTCTGAAGTTTCTACACGTGAAAATATTATTTTTAAACATTGAAATGCTGATCGATAATGACTAACACTTTCTAATGAAAGATATGATGTACAAGTATCAAGAAGTGATTGAAGTGATGGTAACCATGAATCAATATCATCATTTTGTAAACGTGTTTTTAATGTATCAAGTACAGCTAATTTTTGTGCTGATGTACCTTTACGTAATCGTGGAAGAATATCATGTATACGTTCAGAACCTAAATCTTGTCGAAGTTGTTCACGTATAAGTATTGATTTTGATTGAAATTCTAATTTTGTTTCATTAAGACCTTTTGGACGAAGTTTTCCAGCTTTTAATTTAATTTTTTGAAAATCTTTTTGTTGTTTTTTCTTTTTCGATAAACCTTTTTTAAATGGTACTTTATCACGAGCTTTTGTACCAAGTCCTTCATAAGTTTGATGTTTTTTTCTACCCATAATTTTGCGTGCTTTTTTTTCAAATAAAATCTAATTGAAAATGGATTTGATAGAAGAACAATTAGTATACCGGCAGAGCAGAAGAAAGATGTGTATTTAAACGAATCAATATCAAATGCACTACGTGTGGCGACCTCTGAGTTTTTGGAATGGGCCGAAAATAAAATTGGTACTATTCGATAGAGAAAATTATTCTCTATCGAACTGCGCTTCCAGTTTTTTCCGAAAAAATGTCTAAACGCAGAAATAATCGTCACAACTTGACCAATCCAAACAGAGATCATCGTTAATGGCTTCAGCATGGGAATGATAATACAAAATGGCGGCTCCATACAATAAGTTACCATCATTTCTTTTATTTTCTGCTGAATTGAAACTATCTTTGAGTTTTGACGATCACCTTGATCGTTACATTTATTTCAAATATTATTTTTTCCAAATAAAAAATGAATTACAATAAATGCATGCAAGCATAGAAACAGAAAAATACAACAAATTCAGTGATACAAATAAAAAACAAAAAAAAGATTATTGCTTGTGCTTCAATTTTGAGTCATATTTTTTTCTAAAACGTGTTGCTTGTTGTATCTTGATCTAGATGGAAGAAGAGGTGTTTTATAAAAGATAAATTAAAAAGAAATGATGCGATGTACAATCAAAAGACGAGTGTTACAAAAATTGTTGAAACTGCACTTGTTATTAATTGTATTGTTAAACGAAATATATTTAATTAATGATAAAATTAATAATACAAGTTCGTTTATTTTTTTTTTCTACTTTTATTCAAAAGGAATACGTGTAAACTTTCAATGTGTTCAACACACCATTTTTAAACACAGAAGAGTTAGAATTCTATAAAAATATTTTTTTCTTTTCTATTTTATTCATATAGTGATATTGACAAATACTGTAATGCGATAACAATATACCTTTCTCTCCCTCGCAATGCACTGTTTGTTAACATTACTATATGAATAAAATAGAAAAGAAACAAGTATTCTTATAAAATTCAAACTCTTTTTCTTTTGTGCTTGAAAATGGTGTGTTGAACATATTGAAAGTTTACACCTCTTCCTTTTGAATAAAAGTAGAAAAAAAGATAAATGAACCCGTATTATTAGCTTTATCATTTGTGTTTTTGGGACCGAATGTAAACATGGAGAAGAACATGGTGTCGAATCTATGCATATACAAAGATAAAAATCATTTGTGTATTGGCGGAATACTAGTACTATTGTGCGCTATTCTTCTATGTATGTGAAAGAGTGACCAATCCTCTGTACAAATAGAACAATAGTGCTATTATGCGTTAGTCTCATTGGTCGTTGGCTTCTATTGCTCGTTATTGGTCTAAATTAATTGATGGTTTTCTCAGAAATAACTCTGAGGCCGAGAAATTCGAGTTCATCACAACAATTGCCTCCTATCTAGTGTCAATTAGTGTTAAGGAGAACCTTGGAAAAAATGTACAGACAACTACCGCCACCTAGTGCATTAGTATGTTGACGATTTGATAATGATTCAATGATTCATCCCTATTTGCCGGTAGACTAAATGTTCGTACATCCAATAGAAACAAATGAAATTTGGTGTCTCATATTATTGATGGATTTTTCCACTAATGGAATAATGCACGTGTCCAGACATTGATATTACATGTGACTGGTTACGTTTGGACCAAGTGCACTTTTGATTGTGAACTTTATATAACGAGGAATTCATCGTAGAAGAATAGTTTTGCTTTAATGAATGTTTAATAACCGAACATATCGTTCGATTCTCCATAGTAAAACTACGATTTTGTAAGTTGTTTACTAAAAAATAACATTTTTTTCATAATAGTTTTAGTAACTTATTGAATTTGCATCTCAAAATATCAACAATACAACCAATGGAAGGTATTAAATTTGATAATTTAGCATTAAGAGTTTTACCAATTGATCAAGTCCAAGAAAATTATGTTCGAACTGTTTCTGGAGCATGTTTTTCTAAAGTAAATTATATATGTAATTAATAATCAAACTATTTATTTATAAATTAAGGTTAAACCAACTCCAGTTAAAAATCCAAAATTAGTTGCCTACTCATCTGATGCACTTAAATTAATAGATATCGATGAAGAAGCAACAAAAGTTCATATTTAAAAATTTCGAATTTTTTAAATTTTACATGTTTTTTTACGATTTTTTTAGGATGAAAGACAATTAGCTCAGGTATTTAGTGGTAATGTTTTATTACAAGGCATGGATCCAGCTGCACATTGTAAGTTTTAATTGAATATTTATTTTAAATATCAATGTGTTGGTTAATATGTACCAAGTACTCCGTAAAGAATGAGACATTCTTATTTCTTTTTAACAGTAAGGACATAGTTGACGGATTTTATTTTTATACCATTCGATAGACAATTTTTCACTCTACAAAACTATGATAATCAAACAATGATAGAATTCTTCAAATAGAAATGCTGCTGATATTTCAAACATTCTATAAAACGTTCTAAAAGTACGAATTTCGAAAGTGCATCCAAAAAATATCATCAAGTGTTAATTCAAAATGTTTTGCTTCTGAACAAGAACACCAGACGCCTTGAAAGCATAGTAGAAATATACAGTAAAAAATTCTCTATCTATTGATGTTAAATGCTGTATTTTTAAAATCGGACATGATGAACCTAAGATAACACAAATGCATGGATGTCTGCAGAAAATAAGAGATTGCAGTTGGATAATTGAATAGATGTTAATTATTACTATTTTTAGTCGACAGAAAAAAAAATACTCATTTACTCTGTCAACTAGATCTATATTGTTTAAGAAAGAGATATAAAAGTATCGCACTCTTAAAGGACTAGTCGTGTTTAAAATTTTTGAAGATATTGGAAATTTCTTATAAAAACAAGAGTTCATTAAGAACGATGCTCATGTAGCTGATTACTTTTCGTATTATAGTCTCGCAGAAAATATATATCTCATCAATAGTAGACGAAATCTGTTCATACTAACAAAGATAAAAGAATTGAAAAACTTGATATAACATCATAAGAAGCACGAAATAGATACAGCCAAGAAAATATACAATTATTGTAATAGGTCAAAAAATTAGTAAATAAAATGACTAATTCTATTCAGTTCTTTTGATAGATATGGACCTTCTTTTTTCCACTTGAATCATATGAATGTGGCTTGTATCAAGAAACTATAGCTTTTCTTATTCCATTGTTTATGAATCAATAGAAACTTCAATAGTCATTCAAAAAAAACTTCTGTTTGACTCTTTTTTGGTAACAGGATACTAAAATCTCTGTATCCGGAAATCGAAATTCTCATACACCTTAACTAAGGACACTCTCGAGATTTACATGTCAACAGAATAGTAATGTTACAAATGATTAAATACTTGATTACATATCATTATAAATTAAAAAAACCGATGATTATGTTAAGATCATTCGTAACGTTAGATACATTGAACTAATATCTGAACGAAATTCAAGAAAAAAATTCAAATGTTTGTTTCTATATTGTAGGTTATTGTGGTCATCAATTTGGTTATTTTAGTGGTCAACTAGGTGATGGTAAGTAAAAGAAAGATATTTTATTTGCTATTCAAATATTTATCTATATATTTTCCTTAGGTGCCACAATGTAAATTGATATTATCGATTGGAACAATATTAATTTCTATTTTTCAGGTATCTAGGTGAAATAATCAATAAAAAGAATGAACGTTGGGAATTACAATTAAAAGGTGCAGGAAAAACTCCATATTCTCGAACAGCTGATGGTCGTAAAGTTCTTCGAAGTTCAATTCGAGAATTTTTATGTAGTGAAGTAAATTTTCTATTGATTAAAACAAAAAAAAAAAGAAAAATGAACCGTCTTCATATGGTTTTTTTTCTAATCTCAGGCAATATTCTGTTTGGGTATACCAACAACACGTGCTGGAACATGTGTTACTTCTGATGATTATGTCATACGAGATATATATTATGATGGTAATCCTAAACAAGAACGATGTACAATTATTTCGCGTATAGCTCAAACATTTATTCGGTGAGAAGAAAATTTTCATAAAGAATATTTTGTTATTATACAATAAAATTTATTTAGATTTGGTTCTTTTGAAATTTGTAAAACGATTGATCCATTGACTAGTCGAAAAGGTCCATCAGTTGGACGATATGATATATTAAAAACTTTACTTAATTATGTTATATCAACATTCTATCCTGAAGTAAAATTTTCCTTTTTTAAAATTAAATCAATTTTGTTCTTTTTTTTTTCTTCGTTGAAATTTAGATTGAAGAAAAATATAAGTCAAAAGATGAAGATAAATATTCTGCATTTTTTGAAGAAATTGTCAAACGAACAGCATCACTTGTTGCTCAATGGCAATGTGTTGGATGGTGTCATGGAGTATTAAATACTGATAATATGTCTATTGTTGGTGTTACTATTGATTATGGACCATATGGATTTATGGATCGTTATGATCCGAGTTTTATTTGTAACGGTTCAGGTAAAATATTAGCAAAAGAAAAATCTTGAATTCATATTTGAGGAGTTTTGTTTTTTAAGATGATAGTGGTCGATATTCATATAAACAACAACCAAGTATTTGTAAATGGAATTGTGGAAAATTAGCTGAAGCATTAGCACCACTTTTACCAATAGAAAAATCAAAATTAATTTTAAATAAATTTGATGAAGAATATGAACGTGTTTATATGAATAAAATGCGACAAAAAGTAAAAAAAAAAAGAATTTTTTTTTTGTTTCATATAGAAAAGAATATAAGTATCTTCTTATTTTTTTTTATCTAGTTTGGTCTAATACAAAAAGAATTAGAAACAGATCGGTAGGTTAACATAGAAAAATAGTTTGTTGTTTTTTTTTAAATCTTCTTTAATCAATTAGACAATTAATTGATACATTTTTAAATACACTGGAAATGACTGGTGCAGATTTTACAAATTCATTTCGAACACTTTCATTAAT